CGAGGGTCAGCACAACATGAGAAGCATCCCGAGCTCTGAAGATCACCTGGGAAGGAATCCCACTGGAGCATTGCAGCGCACCCAAATACCTGGGAGTCACTCTGGACCGTGCTCTTACCTACAAGAAGCACTGCCTGAACATCAAGCAAAAAGTGGGTGCTAGAAACAATATCATACGAAAGCTGACTGGCACAACCTGGGGATCACAACCAGACACAGTGAAGACATCTGCCCTTGCGCTATGCTACTCTGCTGCTGATTATGCATGCCCAGTGTGGAACACATCTCACCACTAAAACAGTGGATGTGGCTCTTAATGAGACATGCCGCATTATCACGGGGTGTCTGCGCCCTACACCACTGGAGAAATTACACTGCTTAGGTATTGCACCACCTGACATCCGCCGGGAAGTAGCAGCCAATAGTGAAAGGACCAAGGCAGAGACATCTCCAGCTCATCCCCTGTTTGGGTATCAGCCAGCACGCCAACGACTTAAATCTAGACATAGTTTTCTAAGATCTACAGAGACACTCGCTGGAACACCTCAGCAAGCGAGAGTCCAAAAGTGGCAGGCCCAAACCCAGCACCTCAACCAATGGCTGATACCAAATGAGAGACTCCCTCCTGGGCACACAGAAGACTGGGCGACTTGGAAGGCGCTGAACAGACTGCGCTCTGGCACCACGAGATGCAGAGCCAACCTTCAGAAATGGGGCCACAAAGTGGAATCCTCGACATGCGAGTGTGGAGAAGAGCAAACCACTGACCACCTGCTGCAATGCAACCTGAGCCCTGCCACATGCACAATGGAGGACCTTCTTGCAGCAACACCAGAGGCACTCCAAGTGGCCAGATACTGGTCAAAGGACATTTAACCAACTACCAAACTCACAAGATGTGTATTTTTCTGTCTGTTTGCTTTGTTCTGTTAGAAATGTAATATATAATGGACTGGTTGCTCTGACACGACAAATAAGCACAACATGAGGAACTGGATTAAGGGGTCGCGGAATGAGGAAGGCTGAGAAACACTGCAATGCAACATACGTTGTGGCAGCCACAAAAACAAAGATTCTGGAGTAGAACAACAACTTCCAAAGTAAAGAGGGCACACTTAAACAGGAAATAACACTTTCGAGCCAGGAACAGATTCCTTTCCCACCTTTTGTGGCCTAGTGTGATTATGACCACCTTCTTCCTCGTTGGTACTTGTTCCACCCCCCTCCAAATATAAACCCAAGCTTACAAACACAGTTCTGTGCAAATAGACAAAAGAGAATCACAACAGTGGCATCAAGCCCATTGGGAAAGGCGGGCGAAGGATACCTCTCCATGTCTTCATTTCGAGGGAGCTTGCTTGCTGGCCGCCGCCATCTTGGGTGCGTCTAGAAAAACTTTCCCGCTGCTCCTGTTGCTGCGGCCGCGAACTTTGGTTCCGGGAGAGGAAGCGGCCCCTCGCTGTGCCAACTGAGCATGCGCGGCACTTTCTCCTTGAGCTCAGCTGTAGTCAGTCCTATTACTCTTTGCTTTCATTGAAGCATTTCAGCCCTGAAAACATGCAACTGCGGATCTGTACCAACTAAATACACTCATAGAATCACAGAGTTGGAAGAAACCTCATGGGTCATCCAATCCAACCCCCTGCCAAGAAGCAGGAAAATTGCATTCAAAGCAGCCCCGACAGATGGCCATCCAGCCTCTGTTTAAAAGCTTCCAAAGAAGGAGTCTCCATCACACTCTGGGGCAGAGAGTTCCACTGCTGAACAGCTCTCACGGTCAGGAAGTTCTTCCTCATGTTCAAATGCACTCATAGAATCACAGAGTTGGAAGAGACCTCATGGGTCATCCAGTCCAACCCCCTGCCAAGAAGCAGGAAAATTGCATTCAAAGCACCCCCGATGATGGCCATCCAGCCTCCGCCCGCCTCGCCTCGCCTCACCTTGCTCCAGTTCAACAGCCAGCAGAGTGACCTCGTCTGCTGTGGACTCATCTTGTGGTGTTTCAAATAATAATAATAATAATAATAAACATTACACAGTCCTAGACACTTGGGAAGTGTCCAACGTGTGATCCAGTTCAACAACCAGCAGAGTTACCTTGTCTGCTGTGGACTCATCTTGTTGTGTTTCTAATAATAATAATATAATAATAATAATAATAATAATAATAATAATACAGTCCTAGACACTTGGGAAGTGTCCGACGTGTAATCCAATTCAACATCCAGCAGAGTGATCTTGTCTGCAGTGGACTCATCTTGTGGTGTTTGTAATAATAATAATAATAATAATAATAATAATAATAATAATAATAATAAACATAACACAGTTCTAGACACTTGGGAAGGGTCCGACGTGTGATCCAATTCAACATCCAGCAGAGTGATCTTGTCTGCAGTGGACTCATCTTGTGGTGTTTGTAATAATAATAATAATAATAATAATAATAATAATAATAATAATAAACAACATCACACAATCCTAGACACTTGGGAAGTGTCCGACATGAGATCCAATTCAAATGCCAGCAGAGTGTCTGCTGTGGACTCATCTTGTTGTGTTTCTAATAATAATAATAATAATAATAATTATAATTATAATAATTATTATACCCTCTGGTGCAGCTACAAAAGCAGTTATACCTCCCAAATGGTACACTTTCGGAGCAATAAGAAATCCTAAACACAATCTAACGTTGAGTCCCCCCAGGGGTGAGAAAGACAGTATATAAATACTGTAATTAAATAATTAATTAATAAATAACTTCAGGTGCTGTATTTAGTATTGTACCGATGCTGGTTCTCAAGTGTTGTCAATGCTACCCACAAGATAAAGTCTTGCTCAAAACAGTGTAGTGCTTTCGCTTACACAATATACCCATTTTCTCTCACATCCAGATATCAGTGTGGTTTTAGTTGCTTTTATTGTACATAAGTGCTGTAAAGAAGACTCTGTAACACAAAGTTCCATATGAGACAAGTCTAGGGTTTACTGTACAAGAGCGGCCTGCGTCAAACTCATCCAAGCCTAGTAAGTTATGCGTCATGGGCTCCAGTGCCAGCACTAGGTATCTACCGATTGGCACAGGGCACTTAAAAGCCCACATGCTCCAAACAATAACAAAAACAAACAGAACAAACAGAACATGTAGTTAAACTAAGCTTCCTGTTTTGCGTTCATGCCGTATGCTTTGCGAAGACTGATGCCATTTTTCACAATTTCACCCTGTTGTGGTTAACGAAGGCAGAAAGGATCACCTGAAAGACAAAGGGCAAACCAGGAACTGAAAGGAAACAAGTGAACATCGCTGACTATTCTAATCTATTAGCCATCTCAACATGTCATTGCCCAACACCACTAACAAAATTTGCATACTCTGATACAGGAAGCAGATCTTCCACAATTATTATTCTTGCACAATGGCTAGTTTGCAATGTGCAGACCACCCTGCTTTGCCTTTGTCAGATATATTAAAATTAACTAGGTATTTTTAATTACAAAAATGTGAGTCAAGCACTGAAAGGGTTAAATGGATACAATGACTCAGCAAAAGCTTCAGTTCAATATAAACAGGTGTGCCTGTAGCTTAGTGGGCCTCAGTCTGTCAGAGGTCTCTATAGGAGAAGGGCCTCAGTGTGTTAGTAGGCCTCAGTATGAAGAAGGCCTCGGTGTTACTTCACCTCAGTGGGGAAAAAGCCTCGGTCTGAGAGAGACCTCAGTGTGAGAAGGCCTCAGTCTGAGAGAGCCCTCAGTGTGAGAAAGCCTCAGTGGGTTAAATAGATACAATGACTCAGCAAAAGCTTCAGTTCAATATAAACAGGTGTGCCTGTAGCTTAGTGGGCCTCAGTCTGTCAGAGGTCTTTGTAGGAGAAGGGCCTCAGTGTGTTGGTAGGCCTCAGTATGAAAAAGGCTTCAGTGGTAGTTCACCCCAGTGGGAAATTGGCCTCAGTCTGAGAGAGCCCTCAGTGTGAGAAGGCCTCAGTGAGAGAAAGGCCTCAGTCTCAAAGAGCCCTCAGTGTGAGAAAGTCTCAGTGGGTTAGCCTATAAAGCCCTACACGGTTCCGGCCCCACTTACCTCTCCGAACGCATCTCCTCCTACGAACCGGGAAGAGCGTTAAGATCTTCCGGGGAGGCCCTGCTCTCAGTTCCGCCGGCGTCACAAGTGCGGCTGGCGGGCACGAGAGACAGGGCCTTCTCGGTGGTGGCCCCTCGGCTATGGAATGCGTTACCGGTGGACATCAGGCAGGCCCCTTCGTTACTGGTGTTTCGGAGGAGGGTGAAGACGTGGCTCTACGAGCAGGCTTTCGGCAACTAACTCAATAATGACGGCATCGGACAAGGAATGGAAAAAGGATCTTGAGATCGGAATCTGATTCTAAGTGTGGCGTTGATGATTATGTGTTTGTCTGTATTGTGTGTCTCATACATTGTTTAGTGTTGCTTTTTATTGTAAACCACATTGAGTCGCCGCCTCAGGCTGATATATGCGGTATACAAATAGAGTAAATAAATAATAAATAAAATAAAATAAATGGATACAATGACTCAGCAAAATGGATGCTCAGTGAGTTAAATGGATACAATGACTCAGCAAAAGCTGTAGTTCAATAAAGGCAGGTGTGCCTGTACCTTAGTGTGCCTCAGTCTGTGCAAGGTCTGTGGGAGAAGGGCCTCAGTGTGTTAGTAGGCCTCAATATGAAGAAGGCCTCAGTGTTAGTTCACCTCTGTGGGAAAAAGGCTTCAGTGTGAGAGAGCCCTCAGTGTGAGAAGGCCTCAGTGTCAAGTAGGCCTCAGTGTTAGCAGGCCTCAGTTTGAGTAGGCCTGGTGTGAGAAGTTTCGGTGAGAGAAGCCCCAGGGTGACAGTCATCATGTGTGAAGCTTCAGTGTGAAGGCTGCTGTGTAAAAAGCTCTTGTGTGAAGCTCCTGTGTAACTTTGGTGAGTACGGGCATCTACGTTGCATGGACCCCCTCACCTAGAAACCTGTTCTCTTCATCCATACTTACTCCATCTTGTCATCCAAGCAAGTCACGATGTCTTTGTCTACATAGCGGCAAAAGAGGAGCAAGAGGTTGCTGGGGAGGTGAAGCGGCTCCACCATGGAGGCCTTAGGCACGTGAGAGAGCTCTCTTGCAACGAGAAGCACTGTATTTACCCTAGGGAGAAATAAAAAGAGGAGGTGCAACTGTTAAGGGGGTTGCTTGGACAAAATGTGGAGGAATGCTTTTGCTCACAGATGCTAACTCACCATTTTTCAAAATCTGCATCGTGGGTATTTTGGTGTATGCCAGAAGACAGGCATCTCTCACCATGGCTGAGCAGTAAATACAGGAATGAGATGGCAAACTTGAGGGAAGGAGAAAGAAATCAGGAAATATTAGTGTCAGGATCACCGTATCAGCCTGGGACTGGCTTGTTCGGTGCTCTGCCATAAAGAAGAGAGGTGGGTGAAAGGAAGGCTGGGTAGAGTTGGGGAAGGTTGTGTAGATAAGACATCTGTTTTTTGAGGGAAATTAAATTGCAGTTAACGGACTGTAGGCACAGTGTTTGGCCACTAGAGGGCAGATGGGAGTTGGGACTGACAGGAAGTTTGAGCTGGAAAACTTTAGAACTGTCTTTTTAGGATTTATTTAGTTATTTATTTATTTACAGTATTTATAATCCGCCCTTCTCACCCCGCAGGGGACTCAGGGCGTATTACAATATACATATACATGGCAGACATTCAATGCTATAATAATAATAATAATAATTATACCCCGCCACCATCTCCCCGATGGGGACTCGGAGCGGCTTACACGAGGCCAAGCCCAAACAACAAAGTACAATAGAGTAAAACCGAAAACGCAAACAATAAACAACAACAACAGAATTATATAAAACATGTGAATACATAGCAATATAAAATTTCAATAGGCACAATCACAATGACAATGGGTGGGCTACAATTAAAAGAGAAACTGATTAAAACTAATTTAAAAAACTCAGACGAGATAAAAGAGAGACAGATTATTTGCGGAGGACTCATTATAGTGGGGATTGTGGAATCAGGCTTTTCCATGAGGGCGGGGGGTCATATACTCCAATGACAAAAACGTTGAGGCGGAGCAATAGTGTCACCAAAGGCGCAGCAGAAGAGCCAAGTTTTAAGGTTCTTTTTAAAGGTTTCTAGGGGAGGGGCTTTCCTAATTTCTCCAGGTAATGAGTTCCAGACACACAACATATATAGACAGACACACAGAGGCTATTTAACATTCCAGCTTTTTCACGAGGGTATTCTGGCCACCAAGGGAGCTGTCGCTTCACCGTCCATTTGTGACACTGATGAAGTACTTCCTCATTCTTTGCATGTTTGCTGGAGATTTTTATGGCCTCGTAAATTAGCCTCCCTGCATAAGCAGTACCCATATTTACTACTTGACAGATGCAACTATCTTTTAGGCTGTAAAGGTTGACAGCAAGCTACACAAATTGGTAGGAAGCTCACTCCGACCCAGGCTGGCTTCGAACTCATGACCTTTTAGTCAGTAGTGATCTTAATGCAGCTGACTCCCAGCCAGCTGCGCCACAGTCCCGTTTTGTGAAAAGAAAGAATAAAACACTTGTCTCCAGCGTTTTATTGTTGTGAACTTGAATTTAACTCCAAGATTTTCCAGGGTCTGACAATTAGGGGGGAATCTGCAGCATCCAAATCCTGGTGACTCTGAGCTATACTGTCACATATTCTCTTCATCTCTACTCCCACCTCCAACCTGATCTAGATTTTCTACCGAGTTACAAGTTGAAATATTCTCCACTTTGGATCTCTGCCTCCTACATACCTTGTTCCCAAAGATCATGGAAAGGGATTGCTTGACAGGTTCCGGATGCAGTTTGGTCAGATCCTGCAGAACGTCAATCAGCTCACTGAAGTCCAAGTGCTCAATGACAACTCTGAGGGGGGTGTAGAGGATGGGGAGGGTCTGCCAAAACAGGGAAGGGACAAATAAGATCAAGTTCAGGGGGCTGCAGTCATGAGAGATTACGACATTTCATCCCTCTCCTCCCATCCGATATCATGAGGAAAATGTCATAAATACTAAAAATTAACTAGGCATTTTTAATTACAAAAAATGTGAGTCAAACACTGAAAGGGTTAAAAAGATGCAATGACTCAGCAAAAACTGCAGTTCTATAGCTTGGTACGACTCAGTATTAGTTGCCCTCAGTATGAAGAGGCTTCGGTCTGAGAGAGACCTCAGTGTGAAAGACCTCAGCATAAGAAGGCTCCAATGTTGGTAGGCCTCAGTGTGTGAGAGGCCTGGTGTGAGAAGCTCCAGGTTGAAGACCTTATTGGTGTCAACTGGTCCAGTGGTTTTTGAGTTATGTTAATCCCACAAACGAACATTACATTTTTATTTATATAGATTTATGAGCATAAATAAATAACATTTATTATTTAAACTGTTATGTTTATTCATATCATGATCTGATCACCATGCTCAATATATCCCATATTCATGAGGGTATTTGAATAACGATACAAAAGGTTTGCTAGGGTAGATCTTCTCTCACTCAGACTCAGCCCCCCCCCCCCCCAAATCAAAATCCTGGCTACGGGCCTGCGACTCGCCCAACAGAAAAGTGGTCTAAAAATGAGAATAGCACCCAGAAGCCTCCAGGTGCAAATATGTATTTTAATTCTGTATTATTCTCTTCCAATTTTGAAAATCAAGGTGGTCTGGAAGAGTGGAAAGAGGCATGGGTACAAGAATGTGTGGTGCCTTGAGATTGATTAAAGGCACTGAATGTTTGCCTACTTGTGTATGTTGTAATCTGCTCTGAGTCCCCTTGGTGAGATAGAGAAGAATATAAATAAAGTGTATTTTTATAATCCCAACTATCAAAATCTCTAATATCTCTGTATTTTATTATTTATTTTTATTATTTTACTTTTTTTTTTACTTATTTATTTATCAGGGGTCCTCAAACTAAGGCCCAGGGGCCGAATAGGGCCCTCCAAGTCATTTAACCAGCCCTTGCTCAGGGTCAATCTAAGTCTGAAGCCACTTAAAAGCATGCAACAACAACAATCCTATCGCAAGCAGGCTCATACTTCCCATTGAAATACTAATAAGTTTATATTTGTTAAAATCATTCTACATTTTAATTACTGTATTGTTTTTTTTTGGGGGGGGGGTTGCACTACAAAAAAGATATGTGCAGTTTGCATTGGAATTCATTCATTTTTTTTTCAAATTATAATCCGGCCCTCCAACAGTTTGAGGGATTGTGACCTGGCCCTCTGTTTTAAAAGTCTGAAGACCCCTTGTATTTATCATGAGGGTATTCTGGCCACCAGGGGAGCTGTCGCTTCACCATCCATTTGTGACACTGATGAAGTACTTCCTCACTCTTTGCATGCTTGCTGGAGATTTTTATGGCGTTGTAAATTAGCCTTCCCATATAAGCGGGACCTAAATTTCCTACTTGACAGATGGAACTGTTTTTTGGGCTGCAAAGGTTGACAGCAAGCTACACAAATTGGTCGGAAGCTCACTCCGACCCAAACTCATGACCTTTTGGTCAGTAGTGATCTTAATGCAGCTGATTCCCAACCAACTGTGCCACAGTCCCGGTGCTGTATATAACCCCAAAGCCAACTTATTACAGAAAGCTAATTCTGGGCTGTTGGTGCTATTTGGTCATTTGCAGTCAGTTAAAAAGGAAGGGATATGAAAGAAAATACCTCCTCCTGCATGTCCTTCTTAATCAGAAGAGGTAAGTGCTGTACAACTGCAACCAGGACTCGCTTGGCTTGCTCCTGCGACAAGTGCGGCAACAGACGGGCTATCAACCTCTTCCCTTTCCCCACAAGCAGAACCTGCAGGAACTCGTCTTTCGCTTCCCTGAAAGAAGAGCTCAGCTGGTCCACATACAAGGCATGGAAATTTGACATCCAAGGAAACACATTGAATTGGCTCAACGCATAGGAAGCCACCGCAGCAACCCCTTCTCGCCCCTTTCCCCCATTAATTCTTCCCTGCCATAATATCCATAAGACTCACTCTTCACTGTTGTGCTCTTCGATCCTCAGAGACTGATACATATGCTCCACCTGATGTGACAGTTGCTCACGGAAATGGGAACGCTGCTCTTCAGGTGAAAGCTCCAGTTTCTGCTGAGTGTCCTCTGCAGCCAGTAGCTCCAGATACATCTATTCACAAGAGCAGAGAAGGTTTGTCAAAGACTGCCTTGCTATGTATAACAAAAGACGCGAGGCTGGAGACTTATTAATATTATGTCTGGGCAGGATGGATCTTCCCAGAGGTTTTCCTTTCCTTAAAACAAAAGAAAAATCCCACCCCTGTGCCTCCAATAGGATAGCGAGACGATGATGGATATGTGTTGTTGTGAAGCGAACACTGCTTGTCTTTAAACTTTCTTTTGCATTAAAACTGCCACCAACCTAAGGTGTTTTAGGATTTTAAAAAAAAATATTTGAGGTGAACTTTTCCCACTCCTGCCAACACTGCTCTTATCCCTGGCTCCCAAAAAATGTTTGTTGAAAGGCTTTTCTGTAGCAACAGGGTGTTAAAATTGCTGGAACTATCACAAAAGCTTCACGATGGAATGATGTACAGTAGGGACTTTGTTGAAAGTTAAATAGAATAGGATTTATTTTTAAAACAGACAACTAACCACTCCTGAGAGGTACAAAAAGCATGAGGTACAAAAGTACTTCAGCTTGATTGGTTGCTTGAACAGTTATTTTCACTTTGTTCTAGACCAGTGGTTCTCAACCTTCCTAATGCCACGACCCCTTAATACGCTTCCTCATGTTATGGTGACCCCCAACCATAAAATTAGTTTCATTGCTACTTCATAACTGTCATTTTGCTGCTGTTATGAATAGTAATATAAATACCTTATATGCAGGATGTATTTTCATTCACTGGACCAAATTTGGCACAAAGACCCAATACACCCAAATTTAAATACTGGTGGGATTGGGGGAGGGTATTGATTTTGTCCTGTGGGAGTTGTAGTTGCTGGGATTTATAGTTAACCTACAATCAAAGAGCATTCTGAACTCCACCAATGAGGGAATTGAATCAAACTTGGCACACAGAACTCTCACGACCAGAGAAAATACTGGAAGGGTTTGGTGGGCATTGACCTTGAGTTTTGGGAGTTGTAGTTCATCTACATCCAGAGAGCACTGTGAACTCAAACAATGATGGATCTGGACCAAACCTGGCAACATCCAGAGAGCACTGTGAACTCAAACAATGATGGAGCTGGACCAAACTTGGCACTAATTCTCAATATGCCCAAATGTAAACACTAGTGGGGTTTGGGGAAAATAGACCTGAACATTTAAGAGTTGTAGTTGCTGGGATTTAAAGTTCACCTACAATCAAAGAGCATTCTGAACCCTGCCAACGATTGAATTGGGCCAAACGTCCCACACAGAACCTCCATGACCAACAGAAAATACTGTGTTTTCTTGTGGTCTTTGGTGACCCCTCTGACACCCCCTCGCGACCCCTCCAGGGGTCCCGACCCCCAGGTTGAGAAACACTGTTCTACAGAGCTAACCAAACAGAACTAACTGTTGGTAACAAAACCCTCGCTCTATTTCAGAGAATAGTGATGAGTCTGACTAGCCTATCTAGGTAGCCCCTGGGTTATTAACTAACTCTACCCTAGAGTTCTTCCTGTTAACCAACCCAGCCTGGAGAGCCAATCTCTTGTGCTAACTCTCACAAGAGATCAGACTGCTGTCTGACCTTTTCCCTGTCAGCTCACTGCACTGTCTAACACAGACATTCTCTCGCCTAGCTCTCTCCTCCAAAAAAAACTCCAGATTCAAACTCCCCCTGAAACTACATTCTTTCCCTCCTTTGACTTGGCTCCTCCCAACTGCTCTGACCAATTCTAGGAGTCTCCCAACTCTATCTTTAACTAATCTATCTCTATACTATCTATCTAAAGCTACTGATATTTTACTATAATCATTTATTTAGTTTTTAAATCAAATAAAGATTACTGAATAAAAAATGATAAAAAAGAAAACATGCAAATATTGAGTAGATTAATAGCTACTGGAACTACTCAACATTAACATTTGATGGTCAGAGTATCTGCATGCTAAAAAAAGCCATGCTTCACTTCATTGGTCAATTTTTTGCAATGCAAGAAATGCAAGATACTCCACTTTGGCAGGAAAAACGAAATGCAAAGATACAGAATGGGGGATGCCTGGCTCGAGAGCAGTACGTGTGAAAAAGATCTTGGAGTCCTCGTGGACAACAAGTTAAACATGAGCCAACAATGTGATGTGGCGGCAAAAAAAGCCAATGGGATTTTGGCCTGCATCAATAGGAGCATAGTGTCTAGCTCTAGGGAAGTAATGCTACCCCTCTATTCTGCTTTGGTTAGACCACACCTGGAATATTGTGTCCAATTCTGGGCACCACAATTCAAGAGAGATATTGACAAGCTGGAATGTGTCCAGAGGAGGGTAACTAAAATGATCAAGGGTCTGGAGAACAAGCCCTATGAGGAGCGGCTTAAGGAGCTGGGCATGTTTAGCCTGAAGAAGAGAAGGCTGAGAGGAGATATGATAGCCATGTATAAATATGTGAGAGGAAGCCACAGGGAGGAGGGAGCAAGCTTGTTTTCTGCTTCCCTGGAGACTAGGACGCGGAACAATGGCTTCAAACTACAAGAAAGGAGATTCCATCTGAACATTAGGAAGAACTTCCTGACTGAGAGCCGTTCAGCAGTGGAACTCTCTGCCCCGGAGTGTGGTGGAGGCTCCTTCTTTGGAAGCTTTTAAACAGGAGCTGGATGGCCATCTGTCAGGGGTGATTTGAATGCAATATTCCTGCTTCTTGGCAGAATGGGGTTGGACTGGATGGCCCATGAGGTCTCTTCCAACTCTTTGATTCTATGATTCTATGATGTTTTTAAATAAAGGTGACATCTGGCCCTCTTTGTGAGACAAAGCAACCATCAGAAGAAGGAGCTACACTCAACTCACCTTCTCGATCTGATATAACACATGCAGCCGTTGATTCCCGATGGCCTTCAAATATAAAGGGGAAGATAAATATTAATTTCACAACCCCTTGATGCATCCCTACATCAGAGCTTGCAAAACTTTAAGCAGAAGTTTCAGGTTGTCTAGAAGCATGAAATATGGTAAGAATTAAAACTCCATTATCTACTGCTACGAAATAAAAAAAAATCTTAGTATGTCCATCCATACAACAGCCCTAAATATGTACCTATTACGAGGGTTGAATGAAAAGTAATGCCTCCACCTTCGTTACTTAGGTTTGGATAGGAATATTTTAATAAATCAAACGCTGAAATGCCTGGTCTGCAGGGTTCCATACTTCGCACTTTAACAACACAACTATTCTATGCTAAAGCTTCCTGCCAAAATGGAACTGTAGAGGAGAGTCTACTGAACAAGCCAGTACCTGCCACATACGTTGCTTAAGCCGCATTGACCGACCATCTGCGCAGGGTTCCATATTTTGTACTTTAAAAACACAACCGTTCAATGCTAAGGCTTCCTGCCAAAATGGAACTGTAGAGAAGGGTCTACTGAACAAACCAGTACCTGCCGCATACCAGTACTGCCACATGTTGAGGAGTTATGAAGGTGGAGGCATTACTTTTCATTCAACCCTCACAGAAAGGATGTATTTTAAGAAAGCCCATGACTCTATTTTCTGGGGGAGTCAAGCCCAGGGAAAAGCACTGGCACATACCTGCTCCAATGAAATGTGGTGTGGTGCATCAATGGCCCTCCGGGGACTGTAGCATGTGGAGACGGCCACCTGACCCAAAGAGCCTGGGATCCGCACGACTGGAAGAAGAAACAGTCGTTGTCAGGATGCCACATCTCCATCCCAGAGGAAGGCTTCCATCTTGCAAAACACTCACCAGATTCGTACGTCTCCACTTTCTGGATGTATGGCGTCACAAGCTTGGGGACCTCAGGTTTGGACCCTCCAAAGGGCCCCTTCTCTACTTGCTTCTGTTCCAGCTTATGATAATACTTCTGGGGGAAGGAAAGGAGAGAAATACTGTGTAACCATTACACCTTATGTGCCTGAGAATCCATAAATAAATATTTCTTTGTTCAATTCTTACAATAAAGACTTGTGTCAAGTTACTGAAGTGAAGATATTCTACAAGAAGACGGCTGAAGATCATATTGGAGCTGAATACACTACAGTATTGGGTTGCACATTAAAGTATCACACATAAACAAAATTTTAACAGTGAAGCCTTTCATACAAACCTCTCTCAAACATTGATATATATATAATGTTCTGTGCATAATGACTACATTAAAAACAAAAGAACAGAACCAATGAACGAAATCACACCAAATTTGGCAACAAAATGTCTCACAACACAAGGAGTGACTATCATTCAAAAAATTATGATTTTGTCATTTGGGAGTTGTAGTTGCTGGGATTTAGATGATCTACAACTCCCAAACGTAAGATCAATGCCCACCAAACCCTTCCAGTATTTTCTGTTGGTCATGGGAGTTCTGTGTGCCAAGTTTGGTTCAATTCCATCATTGCTGGAGTTCAGAATGCTCTTTGATTGTAGTTGAACTATAAATCCCTGCAACTACAACTCCCAAATGACAAAATTGTTGGGGTTTTTTGTGAAGGACATACATTGGGTTGTTAGGTGTCAATTCGCCCAGTGGTTTTTGAGTTCTGTTAATCCCACAAACGAACGTTACATTTTTATTTATATAGACTAGGCGTCCCCTGCCATGCGTTGCTGTGGCCCAATCTGTGTATATGTGGTTTGTTTTCGTATATGTGTGTATATGTGTGTGTGTGTTTGCGTATATATATATATACGGTTTTGCGCATGTATTTTTTGGCCTTTTAAAGTCTTTTCTGCTGTGCTTTTGAGTATTTTTATGGGTAATGGTCAGTCGTTGGCCTGAGAGGTGTACATTTTATTTATATAGATAATAATAATAATAATAATAATAATAATAATAATAATAATAATAGATAGGCCTGATAGGTGTATTGTGTCCAAATTTGGTGACAATTCGTCCAGTGGTTTTTGAGTTATTTTAATCCCACAAACTAACATTACATTTTTAATGTTTTATATAGACTAGCCGTCCCCTGCCACGCGTTGCTATGGCCCACATGGGGGTTCTGTGTGGGAGGTTTGGCCCAATTCTATTGTTGGTGCAGTTCAGAATGCTCTGTGATTGTAGGTGAACTATAAATCCCAGCAACTACAACTCCCAAATGACAAGATTCTATTTTCCCCAAACTCCACCAGTGTTCACATTTGGGCATATTGAGTATTTGTGTAGACTGTGGTCCAGATCCATCATTGTTTGAGTCCACAGTGATCTTGAGATGTAGGTGAACTATAACTCCAAAGCCAAAGGACGCTGCCCACCAAACCCTTCCAGTATTTTCTGTTGGTCATGGGAGTTCTATGTGCCAAGTTTGGTTCAATTCCACCATTGGTGGGGTTCAGAATGTTCTTTGATTGTAGGTGAACTATAAATCCCAGTAACTACAACTCCCAAATGACAAAATCAATTTTTTTGAGTGAAGGACATACATTGGGTTGTTAGGTGTCTTGTGTCCAAATTTGGTGTCAATTCGTCCAGTGGTTTTTGAGTTCTGTTAATCCCACAAACAAACATTCCATTTTTATTTATATAGATGTAATATTAATAATATTACAGTATAATGGTACAGTACAATATAGTAATATTTAATACTGATCTTGTACTATGCTAATAATATAATATATTGTATGTATATATATCTTGTAAGCTGCTCTGAGTCCCCTTCGGGGTGAGAAGGGTGGCATAGAAATGCCGTAAATAAATAAATATAGTGAAGTCCACACCCCGGTTTTCCTAGGCCTTCGTTGCCTTCTCCTTGTACCCACCTGGTAATAGTAGTCATTGCGTTGGGGGTTTTCGCTCTGCAGCTGCAGCATCTGCACCTTTATCACCCAGTCCTTTTCCTCCAGAGTCATGAGTGATGCATAGGGATCCTTCTTTGGAGGCTGAGGCTCCCTACATGCCATTCTTTGAGATATAAACAGGAACCATTGAATAATGGATATTCCCAGCTCTTCCTCTTAAGCAATCTAAAATCCAGTGGTCCAAGGCAAGGCTACAAATGGGGACAGTGGGGTGCATACCTATTTTTGCGTAACTTGCTGAGACATATTGAATATCTTCAATTATTTCTGTGCATACTTCAATTATGTAGTGGGACTGTGGTGTGGCTGGCTAGGAGTCAGCTACATTAAGATGACTACTGACTGTAAGGTCATGAGTTTGAAGCCACCCCGGGTCGGAGTGAGCTTCCGACCAATTTGTGTAGCTTGCTGTCGACCTTTGCAACCCGAAAGAGAGTTGCATTTGTCAAGTAGGAAAATTAGGTACCACCTATGTGTGGGGAGGCTAATTTAACAAAATTTACAAGGCCATAAAAAAGACTCCAGCAAAGCACTCCAGCAAAAGCATGTGGGGAATGCTTTGTGTAGCTTGCTGTTGACTTTTGCAGCCCGAAAGACAGTTGCATCTGTCAAGCTTATGCGGGGAGGCTAACTTAACTAATTTACGAGGCCATAAAAATCTCCAGCAAGCATGCAAAGCATGAGGAAGTTCCCGCAGGGGACTCAAGGCGGATCACAATGCACATATACATGACAAACATTCAATGCCATAGACACACAACATATATAGACAGTGACACAGAGGCTATTTAACTTTCCAGCTTTGTGAGAATATGCTTTTTGAATCTGGCCACAGGGGGAGCTGTCGCTTCACCATACATTTGTGACACCGATTGAGTACTCCCTCATTCTTTTGCACACTGCTGGAGAGTTTTTATGGCGTCATAAATTAGTTAAATGTGCCTCCCCACATTAGGGGTACCTAAATTTCCTACTTGACAGATGCAACTGTCTTTCGGGCTGCAAAGGACGACAGCAAGCTAGACAAAAGGCCGGAAGCTCACTCCGACCCGGGCTGGCTTTGAACTCATGACCTCTCGGTCAGTAGTTATTTGAATACAGCTGACTAATAATTAATATTAGACATGTAAAGTGTTTATATGAACCAAAACAAGTTTTTAGAAAAAGCCAAAACTGTCAAGTAGGAAATTTAAGTACTGCTTATGTGGGGAGACTAATTTAACTAATTTACGAGGCCATAAAAATCTCCAGCAAGCATGCAAAGAATGAGAAGTACTTCATCAGTGTCACAAATGGTTGGAGAAGGGACAGCTCCCCTGGTGGCCAGAATACCCTCTAGAAAAGCTGGAATGTTAAATTGCCTCTGTGTCTGTCTATATATGTTGTATGTCTATGGCATTGAATGTTTGCCATGTATATGTACATTGTAATCTGCCCTGAGTCCCCTGCTGGGTGAGAAGGGTGGAATATAAATACAGTAAATAAATATAAATGCTGTAAATTTCCCCAGTTGTTGAACTGCAACAACCACCAGTTTTTGCCACGTAGTCAATATTGAAAAATGCTGGGGTTTGCAAGCAGAACATTTGTGGAAATATCTGGAAAGTCACTCTTCCCAACCCAATTATGTGTACAAGCCTCAGATCTTGTGCTAAAAAGGGAGTAGATCAGAACTGAGATCAGACTCTGGAATCTAGGGCCTGTCTGGAAGGGCCCTGAGTTGTCTTTGCTCTCTCATTTGCCTTTCCACTTACCTTTTTTGCCCTCTTTTTTGTCTTTGAGTCAAGATCCGCTGGTGCAAAGGGTGCAGCTGCATCATGGCGCTGGGAAAACTGGGAATACACAAGAGTACAAGCTGAAGCAGTCCAATTCTTGCGATTTAAAAAAAAATAAGATTGGGCAGATAACATAGGAATTGGGGGTAAATGGGAGCAGGTACGGTGGATCAGATGTGTCACCATAGTACATCTTGCAGGGTTGCTGTTTTTGAAGTCAACACTGTTGGCCAAAATTCAGTCTAACTTCAGAACAGGAAAATATTGTATATACTCTAGTATAAGCCCACCCGAATATAAGCCGAAGCATCTAATTTTACCACAAAAAACTGGGAAAATGAATTGACTCGAGTATAAGCCAAGGGTGGGAAATGCAGCAGCTATTGGTGAATTTCAAAATAAAAATAGATACCAATATAATTACATTAATTGAGGCGTCAGAAGGTTAAATGTTTTTGAATATTTATATAAAACTGTCATTTAAGATAAGACTGTCCAACTCTGATTAAACCATTATTCTAACCTTCTTCATTGTGCTTACGTATCCTTCCAATAATAATAATAGAGTAAAATAATAAATGCAATAATAACAATAATACAGTAAAATAAATGCAATAATACTGTATATACTCGAGTATAAGCCTAGTTTTTCAACCCCCTTTTTAGGCTGAAAAAGTTCCCCTCGGCTTATACTTGAGTCAATGTTATTTATTATTTTCCTCTGTTATTATTGTTATTTTATTACATTTATTATCTTACTCTATTATTATTATTATTATTACATTTATTATTTTACTCTACTAGTATTATTACATTTATTATTTTATTCTATTACTTATATAATTATTACATTGATATTGAAGGTGGTTAATAATAATGGTTTAATCAGTTGGACTGTCTTATCTTAAATTACAGTTTTATGTAAACACTAGCTGTCCCCTGCCACTTGTTGCTGTGGCCCAGTGTGTGTATATCTGTTTTGTGTGTGTGTATGTATGTGTGTATATATTTGTGTATATGTGTGTTTGCATATATATGTGGTTTTGCACATGTTTGGGTTTTTTTTGGCTTTTAAAGTTTTTTTTTTTTGCTATTTTTTTCAGTGTTTTTATGAGTGATGGTCACTCGTTGGCCTGATATTTGTATTGTGTCCAAATTTGGTGTCAATTCATCCAGTGGTTTTTMAGTTATGTTAGTCCTACAAATGAACATTACATTTTTATTTATATAGATTCAAAAACATTGAACCTACTGATGCCTCAGTTAATGTAATTTTATTGGTATCTATTTTTATTTTGAAATTGACCCATAGCTACTGCATTTTCCACCCTTGGCTTATACTCGAGTCAYTACATTTTCCCAGGTTTTTGTGGTAAAATTAGGTGCATCGGCTTATATTRGGGTCGGCTTATACTCGAGTATATACGGTAATKAAATAAAATAATAACTGTAACAACAACAACAACAACAACAARAARAATAATGAAATAAATAACCTTGACTCGAGTATAAGCCGAGGGAGACTTTTTCAGCATTAAAAAAAGGTTGAAAAACTAGTCTTACACTAGTTATTTAATATTTAATGTTTATTTTACTTAAGTGATATTTGTCTTGACTGTTCTAATGTAGCACAAATCCTATGTAAAATCGTACTACGTATTTTTTACATTAATATTGAAATCTGAAATATATACAGAAAGTATGCAAAAGAGGCCGTTGTATACTTGGGACACACCAGCACAATATATTTAATAAGTCACAGGCTAGAGAAGCCTTCCTAGAATGCTAAATAGGCCTTTGAACGGATTTACATCACGGCTCCTTTTATATAGAAATTATCTGCAGGAGAAACAGAATAACAGCATCATAGAGAAAAATCTAGACTGGTACACCAGGAGAACAAGGAATTATAGGGGAAGCCTTGGGGTGCTTCCAGAGTACTGCCGCTATTATATATTTGGCATTGGTAAAGGAAATCCCTAAGTAGCCCAATATAATGACACCCTCAAATTTAGTTGAATAATAGCTAAAACTTTAATCCAGGAGACAGTCTGGTTGCTTTTGGAGTAAAATTGTTACAATCTCTAATAATAATAATAATAATAATAATAATAATAATAATAATACTCCTGACCTCACAATCGTGTTAAAAACAAAGTATGGATTGTTGATGTCGCAATCCCAGGTGACAGCAGGATTGCAGAGAAACAACGGGAAAAGCTGACACGATATGAGGATTTAAAGATAGAACTGCAAAGACTCTGGCACAAGTCAAGGGGGTCCCAGTGGTGATGGGCACACTGGGTACAGTGCCTAAAGACCTTGGCCTGCACTTAAACACAATCAGCGCTGACAAGATTACAATCTGCCAGCTGCAAAAGGCCCCCCGACTTGGATCTGCATGCATTATTCGCCGATACATCACACAGTCCTAGACACTTGGGAAGTGTCCGACGTGTGATCCAATACAACAGCCAGCAGAGTGTCTGCTGTGGACTCATCTTCTTACATTTCAAATAATAAGAAAAATAAATCTTTATTTATATGTTGTTTTTCTCCTTCATGAGACCCAAAGCAGCTTACAGCGTATTAAAATCATGTAAAACAACAATCCAAATACATCAATAATAAGTATAAAACAACATAAAATAACAAGTTTAAACAACAACAATATACATTCCCATTCTTTTGGCGTCATGTCAGATATTTCCCATTAACAGCTGCACATCCCTGCTGTAATCTTATGCAATAAACTCCAGTCCAGATTTTTGCCATTTTAAGGCTTCATTCCCAGTTTCTCAACAGGCTGCCTCCATCCCCATCCCGTCTGTACCTGAATTTCTGTTGGCTGCCGGTCGATGGACTGAAGGGCGGAACATCAGGAATGTGAGTCAAGGACCAGGTTGGACTATTGGCACTTGGGAAAAATGGTCTAAATGGAGGTGGGGAAGCATAGCCTGGTCTCTAAAGAGAGAAAAAGAGAGAACAGAAAAGGCTAGCCTCACCATCATCCACCATCCTCATCCTTGAGGAGCAAAGCTTCCCTGGAGCAGCTTCTCATCATTTCCAAAGGCAACTATAATAGAGCAGGTCTTTAAGTATCTGTTGGGGTTTGTTCCAGCCCCCCCACTCCCCCAAAATCTGTGGAAGCTTAAAATCCATGATACACAACACCGTAGGAAAATTGCATCCCTTATATTTGTGCTTTGTTTGTTTGTTTTTAATGCAATACAACTGTTTTGGTTCGCTCCTGACACGATAAATAAATAAATCCCTTATATAACACTAGCGGTCCTCTGCCACGCGTTGCTGTGGCCCAGTCTGGTGATATGGAAAATAAAGTAAGTAGAAAGTGCTGGTTTCTAATATATTTAATGTCTTTATGCTTGTGGGTAAACAGTATTTCTTGATGTTTCTTTGACAGTGTTGACGTAGAGATTGTCTGGCTTGTCTACTCTGGAACATGCAACATATAATTGTCCATCTTTAGGAGTCCCTTTCACATCTATAATACTTTGTGTGTGTGTGTGTGTGTGTGAATCATATATATCTATCTGTATCTATGGCTGGATGGCTCTCTGTCAGGAGGGCTTTGATTACGTTTTCTTGCCCTGGTGAAGGGAGTTGGACTGGATGGCCTTGGGGGTTCTGTGTGGGAAGTTTGCCCCAGTTCTGTCCTTCGTGGGGTTCATTCAGAATGGTCTTTGATTGCAGGTGAACTATAAATCCCAGTAAGTACAAATCCCAAATGTCAAGGTCTATTTCCCCCAAACTCCATCTGTGTTCATATTTGGGCATATGTAATATTCGTGCCAAGTTTGGTCCAGATCCATCATTGTCTGAGTCCACAGTGCTCTCTGGAGGTGAGCTACATGTAGGTGAACTACAACTCTCAAACCCAAGGTCATTGCCCACCAAACGCTGCTAGTATTTTCTGTTGGTCATGGGAGACCTGTGTGCCAATAAATATATAAAAAATATTACAACACATGCGCAAAACCACATATATACGTAAACACACATGTTGTTGTTCATTCGTTCAGTCGTCTCCGACTCTTCGTGACCTCATGGACCAGCCCACGCCAGAGCTCCCTGTCGGCCGTCACCACTCCCAGCTCCTTCAAGGTCAGTCCAGCCACTTCAAGGATGCCATCCATCCATCTTGCCCTTGGTCGGCCCCTCTTCCTTTTATCTTCCACTTTCCCCAGCATAATTGGAAGGTAAAAGGAAGAGGGGCCGACCAAGGGCAAGATGGATGGATGGCATATACCCAAACACACATATATACACATATACACAAATATATACACACACAAACCACATATACACAGACTGGGCTACAGCAACATGTGGCAAGGGATGGCTAGTGCATTATATTACCTGATTGAGACCAAACGCTCGACGTGTTCTTCGGGGTGGTGTGAACAAGTAGGGCGACCTTACGGAGCCGGGCTTCACAGGAGACTGTTGCGAGGCAAGAGAGAGAGTTATGGCAGGCATCCTCAAACTAAGGTCCTTCAGCTGTTTGAGCCTCCGACTCCCAGAATCACTAACCACTGAACAAGCCGGTCTTCTGGAAGTTGGAGGCCCAAACAGCCAGAGGGACACAATTGGAGGGTGCCTGTTAAGACATGGATAGAAGAAATAATTGCAGTAGAAGGATCCATACCAACATTTGCATGTGAATCTGGACCATCCCAAGACATTCTGCTGCCTAACTGACCTTTTTCCATATACCATATATGCTTGAGTATAAGTCCACCTGAATATAAGCCAAGGCACCTAATTTTACCACAAAATACTGGGAAAACGGATTGACTCCAGTATAAGCCGAGGGGTAGGAAATGCAGCGGCTACTGGTCAGTTTCAAAATGTAAATAGATATCAATAACATTACATTAATTGCTGCATCAGTAGGTTAAATGTTTTTGAATATTTACATAAAACTGTAATTTAAGATAAAACTGTCCAACTCTGATTAAACCGTTATTCTAACCTTCTTCAATGTAAATATGCTTACATCTCCTTCCAATAATAATAGAGTAAAATAATATAAATGTAATAACAATAGAGTAAAATAACAAATGTAATAAAATAATAATAGAATGAAATAATAAATGTAATAATAATAGAGTAATGTAAATGTAATAATAATAATAATAATAGAGTAAAATAACAAATGTAATAAAATAATAGAGTAAAATAATAAATGTAAGAATAATAATAGAGTAAAATAATGTAAATGTAAGAATAATAATAGAGTAAAATAACAAATGTAATAAAATAATAGAATGAAATAATAAATGTAATAATAGAGTAAAATAATAAATGTAAGAATAATAATAGAGTAAAATAATAAATGTAAGAATAATAATAGAGTAAAATAATGTAAATGTAATAATAGAGTAAAATAACAAATGTAATAATAACAATAATAGAGTTAAATAATAAATGTAAGAATAATAATAGAGTAAAATAATGTAAATGTAATAATAGAGTAAAATAACAAACGTAATAATAACAATAATAGAGTTAAATAATAAATGTAAGAATAATAATAAAGTAAAATAATCTAAATGTAATAATAATAATAGAGTAAAATAACAAACGTAATAATAATAATAGAGTAAAATAGTGTAAATGTAATAATAATAATAGAGTAAAATAATGTAAATGTAATAATAATAGAGTAAAATAATAAATGTAAATTTTTTTTGTTGTGTCAGAAGCAACTTGAGAAACTGCAAGTCGCTTCTGGTGTGAGAGAATTGGCCGTCTGCACGGATGTTGCCCAGGGTGGATGTTTGATGTTTTATCATCTTGTGGGAGGCTTCTCTCATGTCCCCGCATGAGGAGCTGGAGCTGATAAAGGGAGCTCATCCACCTCTCTCCGGATTTGAACCTGCGACCTGTCAGTCTTCAGTCCTGTCGGCACAGGGGTTTAACCCACTGCGCCAACGGGGGCTCCAATGTAATAATAATAATAAAGTAAAATAATGTAAATGTAATAATAATAATAATAATAATAATAATAGAGTAAAATAATAAATGTAATAATAATAATAATAGAGTAAAATAATAAATGTAATAATAGTAATAATAATAATAATAATAGAGTAAAATAATGTAAATGTAATCATAATAGAGTAAAATAATAAATTTAATAAAAATAATAATAGTAGAGTAAAATAATATATAATCTTGACTCCCTGAAAAAGGGAGGCTTTTTCAGGCTAAAAAAAGGACTGAACATTTCAGCTTATCATTGAGTATATGGTACATTAGCAGCTGGACCTTTTGGTCAACTGAGGCTTGGGCTCTTGCACTACAGTAGGTAGACTGAAACAATATCTTTTTTATCCAAAAAAATAAGCAATTAATAAGTAGCTCTTTGTATCACCAAAAGTAGGCAGAGCTTGAGATACAATGGGTTACCTGCCGCATGAAATGTTGAGAAGAGGGCTTGATGGTTCTTCCATGGAAGACTGAATGCTCACGGCCCAAAGAATCCAGAAAAGTCTTCTGTACTGGGGAGGCCAGGAAATCTAAATCAGCCCGGGACAGGGATGCCCTCTCCATTGCCTGAAGTGAACAATAGCAAATATTATTTTCTTCACAGGATCAATATGGGAGGCAACACAAGCCTGGCTAAGAAGACTCGCAGGACATTCCCGAGCTTGGGCTTTCCATTACCTCTAATGCAGATTGGCCACGTACAGCTCTCATGACTGCTGGGTCTCCCAGCTCATTTGGCTCCCCTGCTGCTCCATTTGTATAGCCCTCTTCCTGCTCAGCCACGGCTGCTTCCTCTTCTTCCATGGCCTCAGGTTGGAGACTTCCATTCTCTGCAACGTTATCTTCTACCATTGGCTCTGTATCTACAGCTTTGGAGTCCTCCTCTTGCACATCACAGGGCTGCTCTTCACCAGCAGCAGACACCATCAGCCCCTCGGGTTCATCCTTAGGAGCTTGCTCTTGATCTGTTAAAGGGGTTTTGACCCCATTTTGTTCTGCATAAGCTTTGGAGAAAGAGCAAGAGCATTCCAGATCAGTGGAAGAAGGGAAAGAGCTAGGAAAGAGACAGCATCCCTTCCTACAAAGCAAGTAGTTCTCACACAGTGTCAGGAATCAATTTCTGATGGCATGAAGACATCACAAATTCCCTCCGTGACATCCTGACTGAATCATCCTGACTGAATCTATTCTTTCTGTGACATTCTGAACCCAGCAGAGGGTGCTGGAAACCATATTATGGAACTACATTGTGGTTTTTTCAGGCTATATGGCCATGTTCTAGAGGCATTCTCTCCTGACGTTTCGCCTGCATCTATGGCAAGTATCCTCAGAGGTAGTGAGAAACGTCAGGAGATAATGCCTCTAGAACATGGCCATATAGCCCGAAAAAACCGCAACAACCCAGTGATTCCGGCCATGAAAGCCTTTGACAATACTTTTTATGGAACTTGTGAAGCAACAAGTTCTAATAAGGAAACTGAGAAGAGGGGGAGATGGGCAGGAAAGGGGTATAAAAGGAAGTGGTGATGGGAAAAAGTCAGTAGTGTCTTTCTTTGCTGCAGAGATACAAGCAATATATCAATTTCAAAGCAAGCCGGCTTGTGAGTGGTTATTTACTATTGCAATTTAGATCCTGCAGTCTGACACACAGATGCAATCATCACATTGGCTGTGTTCTCGCACAGGCCCTTCTACACTGCCATATAAAATCCAAATTATCTGCTTTGAACTGGATTATATGATAGTGTAGACCAGGGGTCCTCAAACCTTTTAAACAGAGGGGCAGGTCACAGTCCCTCAAACTGTTGGAGGGCCAGAATATAATTTGCAAAAACATGAATGAATTCCTACGCACACTGCACATATCTTATTTGTAGTGCAGAAAGCACTTAAAAACAATACAATAATTAAAATGAAGAACAGTTTTAACAAATAAAAACTTATTAGTATTTCAATGGAAAGTGTGGGCCTGCTTTTGGCTGATGAGATGGGATTGTTGTTGTGTGCTTTCAAGTAATTTCAGACTTCGGTTGACCCTGAGCGAGGGCTGGGTAAATGACCTTGGAGGGCCGTATCTGACTCTCGGGTCTTAGTTTGAGGACCTCTGGTGTAGATTCGTATAATCCAAGTCAAAGCTGAAAATGTGGATTATCTGCTTTGAAAATCTGGACAATATGGCAGTGTAGAAGAGGCTATATAGGTTTGGTCTTAAATTTGTATGTAAGTTGGAACAGGTACTTTTTGAAGTGTAACTCCAGCCAAATATGCACTTAACTAGCTGTTCCCTGCCACGCATTGCTGTGGTCCAGTCTGGTGATCTGGAAAATTAAGTAATGAGAAAGGCACACAACATATATAGAGACACAGAGGCTATTTAACTTTCCAGCTTCATAAGAATATGCTTTTTGATTTCTGGCCACCAGGGGAGCTGTCACTTCACCATCCATTTGTGACACCGATGGAGTACTTCCTCATTCTTTTGCATACTGCTGGAGAGTTTTTATGGCGTCAAAAATTAGTTAAAGATGCTTCCCCGCATTAGTGGTACCTAAATTTCCTATTTGACAGATGCAACTGTCTTTCGGGCTGCAAAGGTCACCACCAAGCTAGACAAAAGGCCGGAAGCTCACTCCGACCCGGGCTGGCTTTGAACTCATAACCTCTAGGTCAGTAGTTATTTGAATGCAGCTGACTAATAATTAATATTAGACATGCAAAGTGTTTATATGAACCAAAACAAGTTTTTAGAAAAGCCAAAACTGTCAAGTAGGAAACTTAGGTACTGCTTATGCAGGGAGGCTAATTTAACTAATTTACAAGGCCATAAATTTTTCCAGCAAGCATGCAAAGAATGAGGAAGTACTTCATCAGTGTCACAAATGGTTGGTGAAAGGACAGCTCCCCTGGTGGCCAGAATACCCTCAAGAAAAGCTGGAATGCTAAATTGCCTCTGTGTCTGTCTATATATGTTGCATGTCTATGGCATTGAATGTTTGCCATGTATATGAGTCCCCTGCGGGGTGAGAAGGACCGAACATATATACTGTAAATAATAAAAAAGTAAGTAAAGTAAGTATGAGGTGCTTGCAAGTCGGATGTTTGTAACCCCCGTGGACTGCCTGTACCAATAAAATGTCCTATTCTACTAATAGAAAGATCTCACAAAACAAGTTTAACTATTTTACCTGATGAGGTGAATGTCAAATTACCATAAAGATCAATTTCACCCTCTTCAGTGGTTTCCTCAGGCACGGGTTCCTCATCCATTATGAAGAAATCCTCCAGGATCTAGTTGGTGGCGACAAAATGCAAATGGTCGGACGCAAGGAAAAAACCATATTATTATTTATTATTTACTGTATTTGTATACCGCCTTTCTCAGCCTGTAGGCAACTCAAGGCAGTTAACACGGCAAAATTCAATGTTTACAGTGTCATAAATAAAATTTATTTATTTTTATTTATTGTGTCAGGAGCAACCAGACATTTGTATTACATTTTTAACAAAGCAAACAAACACACAGACAAAACACAAAGTTTGCAAGCTTGGTAGTTGGTTAAATGTCCTTTGACCAGTATCTGGCCACTTGGAGTGCCTCGGGTGTTGCCGCAAGGAGGTCCTCCATTGTGCATGTGGCAGGGCTCAGGGTGCATTGCAGCAGGTGGTCAGTGGTTTGCTCTTCTCCACACTCGCATGTCGTGGATTCCACTTTGTGGCCCCATTTCTGAAGGTTGGCTCTGCATCTTGTGGTGCCAGAGCGCAGTCTGTTCAATGCCTTCCAAGTCGCCCAGTCCTTTGTGTGCCCAGGGGGGAGTCTCTCATTTGGTATCAGCCACTGGTTGAGGTTCTGGGTTTGAGCCTGCCACTTTTGGACTCTCGCTTGCTGAGGTGTTCCAGCGAGTGTCTCTGTAGATCTTAGAAAACTATTTCTTGATTTAAGTCATTGACGTGCTGGCTGATACCCAAACAGGGGATGAGCTGGAGATGTCTCTGCCTTGGTCCTTTCACTATTGGCTGCTACTTCCCGGCAGATGTCAGGTGGTGCAATACCGGCTAGACAGTGTAATTTCCCTAGTGGTGTAGGGCGCAGACACCCCGTGATAATGTGCCATGTCTCATTAAGAGCCACATCTACTGTTTTAGCGTGGTGAGATGTGTTCCACACTGGGCATGCGTACTCAGCAGCAGAGAGCATAGCGCAAGGGCAGATGTCTTCACTGTGTCTGGTTGTGATCCCCAGGTTGTGCCAGTCAGCTTTCGTATGATATTGTTTCTAGCACCCACTTTTTGCTTGATATTCAGGCAGTGCTTCTTGTAGGTCAGAGCACGGTCCAGAGTGACTCCCAGGTATTTGGGTGTGCTGCAATGCTCCAGTGGGATTCCTTCCCAGGTGATCCTTATAGCTCAGGATGCTTGTCTGTTCTTAAGGTGGAAAGCACATGTCTGTGTTTTGGATGGATTAGGGATCAGCTGGTTTTCCCTGTAATTGGTGGTAAGGGCACCTAGAGCTTCGGAGAGCTTCTGTTCAACCATCTCAAAGCTCCCTGCTTGATCAGTAATGGCACGATCATATATATTTTATATTATTAGAATAGTACAATATCAGTATTACTATATTTACTATATTATTATACTGAAATATTGTTAATATTACATGTAATATAAAATATATAATTATATTATTATATCGTATTGCATTATTATAAATATTTTATATATATATATATATAATATTAATATATAACATGACCATACTGCCTGGGAAACTCACAACAACCCAGTAATATTACATGTAATATAAAATATATAATTATAATATCATTTTATTAGTTTTATATTGTATTGCATTATACTATTATAATACTAGCTGTCCCCTGCCACGCGTTGTTGTGGCCCAGTCTGTGTATATATGTGTATAAGTGGTTTTGTGCATGCGTTGTAATGTATTTTTTATTTAATTTGGTTTTTTAAGTCTCTTCCGCTGTGTTTTTCAGTGTGTTTATGAGTGATGGTCACTCGTTGGCCTGATAGGTGTATTGTGTCCAAATTTGGTGTCAATTCGTCCAGTGGTTTTTGAATTATGTTAATCCCACAAATTAACATTACATTTTTATTTATATACTAGCCGTCCCCTGCCACACGTTGCTGTGGCCCACATGGGGTTTTGTGTGGGAGGTTTGGCCCATTTCTATCATTGGTGGGGTTCAGAATGCTCTTTGATTTTAGGTGATCTATAAATCCCAGCAACTACAACCCCCAAATATCAAGATTCTAGTGTTCACATTTGGGCATATTGAGTATTCATGTAGAGTTTGGTCCAGATCCATCATTGTTTGAGTCCACAGTGATCTCTTGATGTAGGTGAACTACAACTCCAAAACCAAAGGACACTGCCCACCAAACCCTTCCAGTATTTTATGTTGGCCATGGGAGAACTGTGTGCTACGTTTGGTTCAATTCCATCATTGGTGGGGTTCAGAATGCTCTTTGCTTGTAGGTGAACTATAAATCCCAGCAACTACAACTCCCAAATGACAAAATCATTTTTTTAGTGAAGCACATACATTGGGTTGTTAGGTGTCTTGTGTCCAAATTTGGTGTCAGTTCGTACAGTGTTAATCCCACAAACGAGCATTACATTTTTTGGGAGAACTGTGTGCCAAGTTTGGTTCAATTCCATCCTTGGTGGGGTTCAGAATGCTCTTTGCTTGTAGGTGAACTATAAATCCCAGCAACTACAACTCCCAAATGACAAAATCATTTATTTATTTTTTAGTGAAGGACATACATTGAGTTGTTAGGTGTCTTGTAGTCCAAATTTGGTGTCTATTCGTCCAGTGGTTTTTGAGTTCTGTTAATCCCACAAACAAACATCACATTTTTATTTATATAGATTATAATATATACAATATATTATATTAATATAGCCTGGCTCGAGAGCAGGACGTGTGAAAAAGATCTTGGAGTCCTCATGGACAACAAGTTAAACATGAGCCAACAATGTGATGTGGCGGCAAAAAAAGCCAATGGGATTTTGGCCTGCATCAAGAGGAGCATAGTGTCTAGATCTAGGGAAGTAATGCTACCCCTCTATTCTGTTTTGGTTAGACCACACCTGGAATATTGTGTCCAGTTCTGGGCACCACAATTCAAGAGAGATATTGACAAGCTGGAATGTGTCCAGAGGAGAGCGACTAAAATGATAAAAGGTCTGGAGAACAAGCCCTATGAGGAGCGGCTTAAGGAGCTGGGCATGTTTAGCCTGAAGAGAAGGCTGAGAGGGGATATGATAGCCATGTATAAATATGTGAGAGGAAGCCACAGGGAGGAGGGAGCAAGCTTGTTTTCTGCTGCCCTGGAGACTAGGACAAGGGAACAATGGCTTCAAACTACAAGAGAGGAGATTCCATCTGAACACGAGGAAGAACTTCCTGACTGTGAGAGCCGTGCTCAGCAGTGGAACTCTCTGCCCGGAGTGTGGTGGAGGCTACTTCTTTGGAAGCTTTTAAACAGAGGCTGGATGGCCATCTGTCAGGGGTGATTTGAATGCAATATTCCTGCTTCTTGGCAGGGGGTTGGACTGGATGGCCCATGAGGTCTCTTCCAACTCTTTGATTCTATGATTCTAATATTACATGCAATATATAATAAACAATTCAATTGTAGTCCCTAAGGATAGTTTTCCTAGGAATAAAACAAAATAAATGGAGAACATCTATCTGGATGCAAACCATTGAAGAATATCTGGGGAAATGGGAAGAGAAAGGACTCTTTGAACTGCGCATGCGTAGCATCCTTCTCTCTCTCTCTCTCTCCTCTTCCCCCCTCCCCCCCGCCTCCTTCCTCGGCAGCAGCAGCGACGACAGAGGAGTATCAATGCCAGCCTTCCTTCTCAGCGACAGGTGTGTCTGCAAAGACTGCGCATGCGCACATTCAGAAAGAGTGAAAAAACCTCCAAATCAGAATCCTTTCAGTTGCCTGTTGTTGGGCTTGGGTGTGAAAGCACACATTTGAGAAACACAACTCCCCAAAGTGATATCACACTGTTTAAAACCATTAACTAATTAACTGAAGGCTCATAATTGAAGAATAAACAGAATAGTAAACAACTGAAGACTCATAATTGAAGAATAAATAGGATAATAGACAGACAATTCAAAATCGCAAGGCCAAGTGTTTGGCTGAAGCACAAAACTGTGAACCAGGCTCAAGTTTCCCTTGTAATTTCCACACTTTTTCCTCTACTATTTCAATCTTGAGGGAATATATACAATTTGGGGAAGGGATTTTAGCTTCAGGATTATTGCCAAAAGGTGGAGAGATGATTAGAGATATTAGGAGTCCCTAATTTCCCTCAGAAAGGAGGCCCAAAAGGCACGGCTACTCACCACAGCGGCCTCCACTGGGCCCCCTTCCGCCATGACACCTTCCTCCTCTCTTCTCTTCCCTCACACTTTCCTTTTCCCTCCATTCCCACTCTTTTAAACTGCCTTCCTAAGGGCGGGGCAGGTTAATTAAAGCCAATATCCCTATATTATTAACAAGTGTGCCTTTCAATTGCTCCCAAAAAGGAAAAAAAAAGGTTCATGGCTGCTGTAAGTTGACAGAAGGATTTGGGCCTGTTGTGACCACACACACAAAAGGCCTGAACTTGTAGACCAACAGTCAACAAGTTGTCAGTGTTGTTGTGGGCTTTCAAGGCAAAGACAACCCCCCAATCTACAATGCTATATAATGTGTTGTCGAAGGCTTTCATGGCTGGAATCACTAGGTTCTTGTAGGTTTTTTTCGGGCTATAGGGCCATGTTCTAGAGGCATTTCTCCTGACGTTTCGCCTGCAACTATGGCGAGCATCCCCATAGGTAGTGAGGTCTGTTGGAAGTAGGAAATGGGTTTATATATCTGTGGAATGACTGGGGTGGGGCAAAGAGCTCTCTGCTGAAGCTAGGTGTGAATGTTTCAGCTCACCACCTTCATTAGCATTTGAAGGCCTGGCTGAGCCTGGGAAAATGTTCTGTTGAGAGGTGTTAAGATGTGCCTGGTTGTTTCCTCTCTGCTGTTTTGCTGTAGTAATTTTAGAGTTTTTTAATACTGGTAGCCAGATTTTGTTCATTTTCATGGTCTCCTCCTTTAATATAATATATAATTATATATTATATAATTTATAATTATAATTTATAATTTATATAATGCGGTTTGAAACGCCATCATATGGTCAGTGTAGACTCCTACAATGCATTACTTGGGAGTGTATATCCAGCCTCATACAATGGCTGTGTGGATACAGAGATAGAGATTGTAGGGAGACTAAGGTGCTTGTTTATAAAGCTGCTAGCTGTCCCCTGCCACGCGTTGCTGTGGCCCAGTCTGTTGATCTGGAAAATAAAGAAATGAGAAAGTGTTGGTTTCTAATATATGTAATTTCTTTATGCTTGTGGATAAAAAGTATTTCTTGCAGTTTCTTTGTCAGTGTTGATGTGGAGAGTTTCTGGTTTGCCCACCCCGGAACATGCAACATATCATTGTCCTTCTTTAGGGGTCCCTTTCAAATCTATACTATATCTGTGTGTGAATCATATCTATCTCTATCTATGGCTGGGTGGCTCTTTGTCAGGAGGGCTTTGATTACTTTTCTTGCCCTGATGAAGGGAGTTGGATTGGATGGCCTTAAGTATTTTCTGTTGGTCATGGGGGTTCTGTGTGGGAAGTTTGCCCTGATTCTGTCATTTGTGGGGTTCAGAATGCTCTTTGATTGTAGGTGAACTGTGAATCCCAGTGACTACAACTCCCAAATGTCAAGGTCTATTTCCCCCAAACTCCATCTGTGTTCATATTTGGGCGTATGAGTATTTGTGCCAAGTTTGGTCCAGATCCATCATTGTTTGAGTCCACAGTGCTCTCTGGATGTAGGTGAACTACAACTCCAAAACTCAAGATCAATGCCCACCAAACCCTTCCAGTATTTTCTGTTGGTCATGGGAATTCTGTGTGCCAAGTTTTGGTTTGATTCCATCATTGGTGGAGTTCAGAATGCTCTTTGATTTAGGTGAACTATAAATCCCAGCAACTACAACTCCCAAATGACAAAATCATAATTTTTTGAGTGATGGTCACTCCTTGTGTTGTGAGATGTTTTGTTGCCAAATTTGGTGTGATTTCGTTCATTGGTTCTTTTGTTTTTAAGGCACTCATTATGCACAGAGCATTTTTATATATATAGATTGTCCTCCCAACCGTGCTATATGCCTGTGAAACGTGGACTGTCTTTTTTAAAAAAATATTTTTATTAAACTTTTAAATACGTAGATATAAAAAATCGGGGGGTGCATAAGGGGAGAGGAAAGATGTGAGGGGGGAGGGGAGGGGAGGGGAAGGGTATTCCATCCATACCTATGGGAGAGGGGAAAGGGGGAACCACATTCTTTCCAATAGGAGAGGTTGAGGTAAGGGGAAGTACGGGGGTAGATAAGGGGAAAAAACTTCCGAGTAGGCAACGTGGACTGTCTACAGACATCACTCCTGGAACCATTCCATCAGCGTTGCCACCAAAAAAATCCTGTAAATCTCTTGGGAAGACAGGCGGAGAAACATCAGCGTGCTGGAAGAAGCAAAGACTACCAGCACTGAAGCAATGGTCCTCTGCCATCAACTCTGCTGGACCAGCCACGTTGTCCAGATGCCCAACCACCGTCTCCCAAAGCAGTTGCTCTACTCCGAACTCAAGAACGGAAAACAGAATTTTGGTGGGCAGGAAAAGAGATTTAAAGATGGGCTCAAAGCCAACCTTAAAAACTCTAGCATAGACACTGAGAACTGGGAAGCCCTGGCCCTTGAGCACTCCAGCAGGAGGTCAGCTGTGACCAGCAGTGCTGCAGAATTTGAAGAAGCACAAATGGAGGGTGAAAGAGAGAAACGTGCCAAGAGGAAGGCGCATCAAGCCAACCCCGACTGGGACCACCTTCCAGCTGAAAATCAATGCCCTCGCTGCGAGAGAAGATGCAGGTCAAGAATAGGGCTCCACAGCGACCTACAGATTCATAAGAATTCTGATCCTGGAAGACTATCCTACTCAGCCAACGAGGGATCACCTAACTAAATAACATAGATTGTATCTTCTATCTATATAAATAAAAATGTAATGTTCATTTGTGGGATTAACTCAAAAACCACTGGACGAATTGACACCAAATTTAGACACAAGACACCTCTCAGGCCAACGAGTGACCATCACTCAGAAAAACACTGAAAAACACAGCAGACGAGACTTAAAAAGCCAAAAAATACATTACATCGCATGCGCAAAACCACACACACACACATATATGCAAACACACATATACACAAATACACACACTCACACATACACATATATACACGCACAAAACACATATACACAGACTAGGACACAGCAATGCGTGGCAGGGGACAACTAGTTATAATGTGGTTTGAAATGCCATCATGTGGTCAGTGTATACTCCTACAATGCATTATTTGGCAGTGTAGATCTAGCCTCATACAATGGCTGTGTGGATATACAGATATAGATAATATATATATGTATGTGTGTGTGTATAGACACAGAGAACTGGGAAGCCCTGGCCCTTGAGTGCTCCAGCTGGAGGTCAGCTGTGACCAGTAGTACTGTAGAATTTGAAGAGGCACAAATGGAACTCAAGAACGGAAAACGGAATGTTGGAGGACAGGAAAAGAGATTTAAAGATGGGCTCAAAGCCAACCTTAAAAACTCTAGCATAGACACTGAGAACTGGGAAGCCCTGGCCCTTGAGCGTTCCAGTTGGAGGTCAGCTGCGACCAGCAGTGCTGCAGAAATTGAAGAGACACGAATGGAGGGCTAAACAGAGAAATGTGCCAAGAGGAAGGCACGTTAAGCCAACCCTGACTGGGACCGCCTTCCACCTGGAAACCGATGCCCTCACTGCGGGAGAAGATGCAGATCAAGAATAGCGCTCCACAGTCACCTACGGACCCACCGCCTGTACACTGACCTTGGAAGACTATCCTACTCTCCTACTCGGACAACGAGGGCTCACCGAACCTATATATATATATATATACACACACACACACACACACACACACACACATATACACACACACACATATATAGGTTAGGCGAGCCCTCGTTTGTGAGATTAATATAACTCAAAAACCCATTGGACAAATTGACACCAAATCTGGACACAATACACCTATCAGGCCAGAAAGGCTGCAAGTCAGGCCAACAAGTGACCATCACTCTTAAAAACACTGAAAAACACAATGGAAGATACTTAAAAGACCAAAAAAAAAATGCCTTACAGAGCATGCACAAAACCATACAAACAGACACACACAAACACACACATATATATGAATGAGACCATATGCAATTTCAAACTGCAGTATGTGGCAGTGTTGATGGGGCCTTGGCTAAGCCCTTGACCAGGGGTCCTCAAACTTTTTAAACAGAGGGCCAAGTCAGAGTCCCTCAAACTGTTGGAGGGCCGGATTATAATTTGAAAAAAGCATGAATGAATTCCTGTGCACACTGCACATATCTTATTTGTAGTGCAAAAAACACTTTAAAACAATACAATAATTAAAAATAAGAACAATTTTAACAAATATAAATTTATTAGTATTTCAATGGGAACTGTGGGCCTGCTTTTGGTTGATGAGATAGGATTGTTGTTGTTTTGTGCTTTCAAGTCGTTATAAACTTAGATTGACCCTGAGCGAGGGCCAGGTAAATGACCTTGGAGGGCCGCATCTGGCCCCCGGGCCTTAGTTTGAGGACCCCTGCCCTTGACCTTCTCTTTCCAGCACTATTTTGTAGAATACAACACTCTGAAGACTTGGCCTTTCTCCTTTTTTTGTCCAGCAACGTATTTTTTTATCCATCCCTTTTTGTTTTTATAGTTTTCGTGACTTCCGATTACTTCATGCAACAGGTTGAGGATCATTTATCCGTAATTCTGAAATATTCCAAAATAATCAAAATTTGTGGCCAATAAAGCTTTGCTGATAATCCAAAAGTACAGCAAAGTTTATTCCATGCACAGGATTATTATTATTAATAATAATAATAATTATTATTATTATTATATAAAATTATGCTTGCCTTGAGTCTCTATATTGGGAAAAGTAAATAATGTTTATCTCCCATTCTTTCAACCTTTATATTTATTTTTCTAGGCACTGAATCCATATATTGTCGAAGGCTTTCATGGCTGGAATCACTAGGTTCTTGTAGGCTTTTTCGGGCTATAGGGCCATGTTCTACAGGCATTTCTCCTGACGTTTCGCCTGCATCTATGGCAAGCATCCTCAGAGGTAGTGAGGTCTGTTGGAAATAGGAAAATGGGTTTATATATCTGTGGAATGACTGGGGTGGGGCAAAGAGCTCTTCTCTGCTGAAGCTAGGTGTGAATGTTTCAGCTGACCACCATTAGCATTTGAAGGCCTGCCTGAGCCTGGGAAAATGTTCTGTTGAGAGGTGTTAAGATGTGCCTGGTTGTTTCCTCTCTGCTGTTTTGCTGTTGTAATTTTAGAGTTTTTTAATACTGGTAGCCAGATTTTGTTCATTTTCATGGTCTCTTCCTTTCTGTTGAAATTGTCCACATGCTTGTGGATTTCAATGGCTTCTCTGTGTAGTCTGACATGGTGGTTGTTGGAGTGGTCCAGCATTTCTGTGTTCTCTGGCTACCAGTATTAAAAAACTCTAAAATTACATGGCCCTATAGCCCGAAAAAACCTACAAGAACCTACTGAATCCATATTTTCAGACTTGCAGCCTTTCTGGGCTATTTTTATTTCTCTGATAGTCTCATGCATTTCTTTTATTTCAGAGATCCACCTTTGCCAGCCTGCCTTCCATCCTTTTCCCAGCAAAGGAAACAGAAGAAAAAAAACCCCAGCAAATCCTCCAATCGCGAGAGTGCGCATGTGCTTGAGGAGAAACATCTGCCCGGCTACTAGTGATGCTGAAGAATGAATTGCTCCCATTGGCCGAAACCTAAGCCCGCTGAGTTCCAGGCGTTTCCCTGGCTTGTTTTGATTCAGAGGAAGCTGAAGAAGAGGCGGGGGTCTTCTTGGTGTCGTCCCCCGAGGCCTTAGCCATGTTCCTGCCCTGCTTGGCCTTCCTGCTCTGCCTCGCTGTCCTCGAAGCCCTCCAAAGTAATCCTCTCTTTGAACGTGTGATCAAACTTCAGCTCTTAACTCCTTAACTTCCTGTGATGAGCCAGGCCTGGGCAACTTCCGGCCCTCCAGTTGTGGGAGTTGAAGCCCAAAACACCTGGAGGACCGGAAGTTTGCCCAGTCCTGCTTTCTAGCCTTCTCTGCCAGAGAGGGCTGGTGTGCCATCAAACCACAACTCTCACAACAGTTAAAGTGGTATCAAACTGCATTAATTAAGTAGTGTAGATCAGATCAGGGGCTGTCAAACTGGTAGCCAGATTTTGTCCATTTTCATGGTTTCCTCTCTTTCTGCTGAAATTGTCCACATGCTTGCGGATTTCAATATACAGGGTTTGTTTGCTTTTTTTGTCGTGTCAGTTGAGAAACTGCAAGTCGCTTCTGGTGTGAGAGAATTGGCTGTCTGCAAGGATGTTGCCCAGGAGACACCTGGACAGGCCCGTAGCCAGGATTTCGTTTCGGGGGGGGGGGGGCTGAATTTTTTTCAGGGGGGGTTGTTCGGGGGGGGCTGAGTCTGAGTGAAAGAGGGTCTAGCCTAGCAAACCTTTTGTATCATTACCCCAATACCCCCATGCATATGGGAGATATTGAGTATGGTGATCAGATCATGATATGAATAAACATAACAGTTTAAATAATGCACCAGTAAGGCCTTTTTGCAAACCACCATGAGAATTTTGGGGGGGGGGCTGAAGCCCCCCCCCCCCCCCCCCCCCCGGCTACATGCCTGCGCCTGGATGATTTTGATGTTTTTATTATCCTTGTGGGAGGCTTCTCTCATGTCCCCGCATGAGGAGCTGGAACTGATAGAGGGAGCTCATCCACCTCTCCCCGGATTCGAAACTGCGACCTGTTGGTCTTCAGTCCTGCCGGCACAGGGGTTTAACCCACTGCGCCACCGGGAGCTCGATATACAGGGTGAGGCAGCATAACTTCCTTTTTTCAAAACTTAATAAAACCCATTGTATGAATCAGAATTTTTTTATATATAATGTAGGCGCATACCTAAATTTTTGTTTTACGTAGTTTTGAAGATCAAATTAGGTAGGTGGTGTCCCCCATTCTCCATACACTGAGTAAACCGATTTCTAGCGTTGGCGTTTGTCATGACTCTTGCCAGCATAGCAGGTCTTATGTTGGCAATTTCTTCCTGGATGTTGGTCTTCCAATCTTGTAGGATCCTTGGATGGTACACTTACTGGGATCTACATGCATTATTTGCCGATACATCACACAGTCCTAGACACTTGGGAAGTGTCCGAAATGTGATCCAATACAACAGCCAGCAGAGTGTCTGCTGTGGACTCATTTTGTGATGTTTCAAATAACAACAACAACAACATTGAGGGAAGTCCCTGCATTTTTCAAGGTGGAGACTATTAGTTGGTTTATATGTCTTTAGCTTGGAAAATGAAACCATTTTTTCTCTTTAGTGGACCCTCCAGATCTATATTATTAAGTGATGGTGACATGAATGAGGATACGCCTAATAATAATAATAATAATAATAATAATAATAATAATAATGTGAAAGGCAGTCAAGACCCAACATTGAAGTAAATCAATAGTAGTAAACTGCTTCAAGTGCAAAAGGCAAAGAGGGAATACCGTAAAAACACAATCCAGAGAAAACTGGCCAAAGAAGGCTCTCTCTCCATGGACAGAATTGAAAAGCCGACAACAGATCCCAAATGTAGACTCTGCAAGGAAGCAGATGAAATAATAGATCACATCTGCAGCTGCTGCAAGAAGATCGCGCAGACAGACTACAAGCAGAGGCACAACACCCTTGCTCAGATGATTCATTGGAACTTGTGCCACAAAGACCATCTGGCATTCCGGAGGAAAGTAAAGACCTGGCTGTTTGAACAGGCATTCGACTAAGCAGTGTGATTGATTGACTGACTATCGGAACACGGAATATTGGATAACGAGTTTGGATTCTGATTTCATTAATGAGACCTGATGGATTTGTTATACTGATGTAGTGATGTAATGATATTGATGTTTAATGATTTGTGGTGCTATTGCTTTTAAATGCTTAATGATTTTGTATTGTGTATACCTAAATTGTTGTAAACCGCTCTGAGTCTCCTAAGGGCTGAGAAGAGCGGTATACAAATAAAGTAAATAAATAAATAAGTAAATAAATAAATCTGCCTGCGACAAAGAACTGGTGGGATCACAAGCCAGAAAAAGTTACAGAGAATGAACATGCCAAACTCCTCTGGGACTTCTGGATTCAGACAGACAGAGTTTTGGAGCATAATACTCCTGACCTCACAATTGTGTTAAAAAACAAAGTATAGGTTGTCAATGTTGCAATCCCAGGTGACAGCAGGATTGCAGAGAAACAACTGGAAAAGCTGACATGATACGAGGATTTAAAGATCGAACTGCAAAGACTCTGGCAAAAAATTACCAGTACATAATAATAATAATAATAATAATAATAATCTGGCACAAACCAGTCAAGGTGGTCCCAGTGGTGATCGGCACACTGGGTGCAGTGCCTCAAGGCCTTGGCCTGCACTTAAATACAATCAGCGCTGAGAAGATTACAATCTGCCAGCTACAAAAGGCCACCTTACTGGGATCTGCACACATTATTCGCCGATACATCACACAGTCCTAGACACTTGGGAAGGGTCCGACGTGTAGTCCAGTTAAACAACCAGCAGAGTGTCTGCTGTGGACTCATCTTGTTGTGTTTCAAATATTAATAATAATAATAATAATAGTAGTAGTAGTAGTAGTAGTAGTAGTAGTAGTAGTACTAGCAGCAATCCCAGGGGCCATCCAGTCCAACCCTCTTCTGCCATGCAGGAAAAACACAATCCAAACAACCCCTGACTAATTCTGGAAGCAAGGAAGACTTGGGGGAAAGGGTGTGCATAGTGAGGTGTCTATGAGGAGGAGGAGGAAAGAGGAGGAAGGAGCACAGAGCCCATCCATTATGCCCAGCGGAGCCCCAATGGCTCCACAGAGCACACTTTAATAACCACTGGTCTAGATGCATCCACACCATCCCTGAACCTTTCTCTAAGGAAGTCATATCTGAGTTGGAAAAGTGGTCCTTGTCTGGTGTATGCTGCGACCGATTCTGCCTAGGAAGACAATGGCAGAGACCTCACGCATGTCAACTGACACTTTGCCTTCTGTTTCTTCATTTTTCTCGCAGAGGAGCCCAACGTGCAGGTCTATTCTCGTTATCCAGCAGTGAAAGGCAAGAATAATACGCTCCATTGCTATGCGGAGGGCTTCCATCCTCCCGAAATTGATGTCACTTTTGAGAAGGATGGTGTCCTGATTGAGAAGGTGAAGAAGTCCGATCTTACCTTTCATCTGGACTGGACCTTTGAGTGTCTGTTCTATATCCACATTATTCCTGATGGGAAAGCCAATTACACCTGCATTGTGGTGCACAGCAGCATGACCTCTCCAAAGAACGTCACGTGGGGTGAGTGCCTCGCGCCTTCACTCTTCCTGCCATTGCCTTGACACTCCGTTCTTTTCTCAGGAACCATTGTGAACCATTTGGGTGCTTTCTATATTACAGTCTTTCAAGGAAAATATCCTGGCTGCCATTCTGGTTTCCAAGACACTCTTCTTTTAACAGACCAATAATAATAATACATTGCCTGTCTTTGTGTGCTCCTGCCAATGGAACACACAAAGAAGAAGATGCAATTTTCTAAGTACTTGTTATGAAGAATGGTAAATGGACAGTTAGCCCTTCACATTTGCTAGGAAGCCTAAATGCAAGTAAAGAATTTGCTGTTTTGTTTTGTGTTTACCTGAGATAATGTTTCTCTAGGAATTTCTTGGTCATCCAGCACCACACCATGATTGGCTTCTGCTGGAAGCTGACCATCAGAAGAATCACACTGGGGGACCCAGAGATTCCTACAGAAAAAAAATAATAAAATTTATGAATAATCAAATATGCAAAAATAATAACTACAAAGTATTGTCGAAGGATTTCATGGCCGGAATCACTGGGTTATTGTAGGTTTTTTCGGGCTATATGGCCATGTTCTAGAGGCATTCTCTCCTGACGTTTCGCCTGCATCTATGGCAAGCATCCTCAGAGGTAGTGAGGTCTACTAAAAAGGGTTTATATATCTGTGGAATGACCAGGGTGGGACAAAGGACTCTTGTCTGCTGGAGCTAGGTGTGAATGTTTCAACTGACCACCTTGATTAGCATTTGATTGCCTGGTAGTGCCTGGGGCAATCTTTTGTTGAGAGGTGATTAGATGTCCCTGATTGTTTCCTGTTGTTTTGCTGTTGTAATTTTAGAGTTTTTTTAATACTGGTAGCCAGATTTTGTTCTGGGACATCTAATCACAAATGTGGAGGGATGACTGGACATTTTAAGGATGTTACAAACAGAAATGCATGCAACATTATGGGAGGAAGTATTGTTTCATTTGTTCCAAAAGTAGCACAGAGATAACGTTTACAGTGGATGTATTATAGGGAATTAATTGTTCTTAATGTGTTTCAGCAAGTATTTGAGATTGATTAGTCCCTAGTTATGCCTGCTTAAGTCGCCAAATAGTTCTCTGTTTTGCACTTCATCCGCTTCCCCGGCCCTGTGGTACGCTACTTGCACTATCCTTTTTATATCTGGGTCATGCCCAGTTTGGACATCTTGGTCATTGTTGTTGTTGAACTTGGTGTGATGGAGCACCAATGCAATCTGTTCTATTCTGTTATGTCTCGTCTGTTTTATCTTGGCTGTTGTATTTTTGTGGTGCCCCTTTTTAAAATATGTTTTGTTTTATGGATTGTTTTTGCTTCTATGTTTTGTGGACATCTTGTCCCATTTGTGAGCTGCCTCGAGTCCCTTCGGGGAGATGGTGGTGGGGTATAAGAATGAAGTTATTATTATTTATTAACAATTAATTCCTTCCTCATCCCGGTTTCCCCTTCACGACAATTTACATTGCCTATCTCCCAATGTTTTTAAAATATTTTAAATTTTTATTCTTGATGTGGCCCTGCCCAGTGGAATTTCTTGCGTTCGATGTTTGATTGTATATTGCTGTGTTGTCTATTATATTGGTTTTTGCATTTTATGTTTTTGTGTATACTGTGTTTATTGTGTTCATGGGCGTGGCCTCATGTAAGCCGCCCCTGGGGGAGATGGAGCGGGGTATAAATAAAGGATTATTATTATTATTATTATTATTATTATTATTATTATTATCGTGTCAGGAGTGACATGAGAAAAATGCAAGTCGCTTCTGGTGTGAGAGAATTGGCTGTCTGAAAGGACGTTGCCCAGGGGAACGCCTGAATGTTTTGATGTTTTACCATCCTTGTGGGGAGACTTCTCTCATGTCCCCACATGGGGAGCCGGAGCTGACAGAGGGAGCTCATCCGAGCTCTCCCAGATTCAAACCTCCGACCTGTTGGTCTTCAGTCCTGCCAGCACAAGGGTTTAACCGACTGTGCCTCCGGGGGCTCCCTGTTGTTGTTGTTGTTGTTGTTGTTGTTGTTATTATTATTATTATTTTCTCTACGGGAGGAATGTATTATTATTATTATTTTCTCTACGGGAGGAATTTTTATTATTATTATTATTATTATTATTAACAATAATAATAATAATAATAATAATAATACATTCCTCCCGTAGAGAAAATAATACATAATATATGCATATCATTATGATGTTGCAATTTATCAGTAACGAGGACCTAAAGGAAAAGCAGAGCTCACAATTTATTTATTTGTTGATTTGTAGTGTTTGTTTTCTGTTTTCTGTCTCTCAAGGAGACTCAAAGCGGCTGTTTGATAATACACAGCATCGGTTTTTGACCCATCTGTTTACAAAGGGTCTGATTGAATTATGCTTATGCATCACTGAATGCTGTTTACTTTTTATTATTGATATGTTGATTACGGTGCTTTTTCTTCAACACTTTCAAGTTGTCCTTTGCAACACTGTTTTATCTGAATTTACATAGTTAGTATACAGAATAGTTCTTGTTTATTGTACTTTTGATGTAAGCATCACTACTTGGTAGTAGTTAACATGTGTTTTCTCTCATCCTAAAATGTGTAAATACTCAAGGGAGGAGAGGTCTTGTCAGATGTATATTATTTGTTATTAGCCGTTCCCTGCCACGCGTTGCTGTGGCCCAGTCTGGTGATCTGGAAAATATTGTGAAAGTGTGGGTTTCTAATATATGTAATTTCTTTATGCTTATAGGCAAATGGTATTTCTTGTTTGTTTATCAGTGTTGATGTGTAGATTGTCTGGTTTGCCTACTCTGGAATATGGAACATATCATAGTCCTTTTTTAGGGGTCCCTTTCAAATCTATACTATATCTCTCTGTGTGTGAATCATATATATCTATCTGTGGCTGGATGGCTCTTTGTCAGGAGGGCTTTGATTACATTTCTTGCCCTGGTGGAGAGAGTTGGACTGGATGGCCTTAAGTATTTTCTGTTGGTCTTGGGGGTTCTGTGTGGGAAATTTGCCCCAATTCTGTTGTTGGTGGGGTTCAGAATGCTCTTTGAGTGTAGGTGAACTACAAATCCCAGTAACTACAAATCCCAAATGTCAAGGTCTCCCCCCCCCCCCCAAACTCCATCTGTGTTGATATTTGGGCATATGGAATGTTTGTGCCAAGTTTGGTCCAGATCCATCATTGTTTGAGTCCACAGTACTCTATGGATGCAGGTGAAATACAATTCTCAAACTCAAGGTCACTGCCCACCAAACCCTTCTAGTGTTTTCTGTTGGTCATGGGAGTACTGTATGCCACGTTTGGTTCAATTCCATAACTGGTGGAGTTCAGAATGCTCTTTCATTGTGAACTATAAATCCCAGCAACTGCAATTCCCAAATGACAAAATCAATATTTTTTGAGTGAAGGAGATACATTGGATTGTTAGGTGTATGCTGTCCAAATTTGGTGTTAATTCGCCCAGTGGTTTTTGAGTTACCTTAATCCCACAAACGAACATTAAATTTGTATTTATATAGATAGATTGATACGAACCCTTAAGCCACTTTGGTATATTTCTGGGCTGCTGATGAGGAGTTGGTTGGGTTCTGTAAGAACAGTCATCACCTTGGTGGCTGCAAATATTTAGGAACTGAATTCTAGGTCTTTGAAATATTGGATAATTTAACCATCAGTTTACGTAATTTAATCAGCCGCGCGTACTGATACTGTTCTCTTCTACAGAGCAAGAGTACTAAACAGATGACCCCAGAAGTAAGGTAAGGATACTGGATTAAAGTTATAAGTTGATGTGAATGTGATCTAAATAAGAGATATTTTATTTTTCTTTCTTTCAAAAGATGCAGGATAGATAATGAACCACGTGGGTCATTGTGCCTGACTGCCTTTCAACAGACATATTAAAAGAGGACTCTTATTTTGATAGGAAGTATATTCAGAAACATCTGGAGGGTCAGTGTTTACTTGTCTGAGTACAGTTTGAGCCTCCTTTATTTGCAACTAGCTTGGGGACCCAGCACTGCCCGGGTTATTTGAGAAAGGAATTGTGTGTCAAGGTTGGTCTTTATCAGTTATTTATATGGCTCGCAGTGGTCTCAGGAAGTTAGTGAAGGTACTGCAAGTCCCATAATCTGTGGTCCATCCTCCTCCAAACTGCACCAGGATGGAGAGTGGGTCATGGGGGTTCTGTGTGCCAAGTTTGGTCTTGATCAGTCATTGCATGAGGGTCACAGCGCTCTCAGAAAGTGAATGATGGTACTGCAAGTCCCATCATCCATGTTCCACCCTCCTCCAAACTGCAGTAGGATGTAGAGTGGGTCTTGCGGGCTCTGTGTGCCAAGTTTGGTCTGTATTGGTAATTTTCCGACACAGCCTCAGGCCTTTTCCCCTCTTTGTCACCTCATAGTCTTGGAATTTTCAGGCTGGCCAATCAGAGACCATATGCAAATTGTACCTCAGTGGCAACCAATCAGAAAGCTGCCACAAACACCTCCGCCCTACGTCCGTCGCACTTCCTCTGCATACAAACAATGACTTTTAGAATATACATAGATATTTGTGATTTTATTCTATTGGATTTTTAGTTTTGGGGTGCGAAGGGGTTGCCCCACTTCAAAGAAAAGGGGTTTCAGGAGAGAGAAGTTTCGATTTATTATTTATTATC